ATCTATTGCGTTCAAAATAGTGAATGAGAAATTTATGATGGATCTTATGGCGACACTGACAAGGATGTACGAGAAACTTTCTGCTTCAAATAACGTATTTCTAATGAAAAAGTTATTTAAGATAAAGTTGGCAGAAGACAATTCGGTGGTTGAATACTTGAACAATTTCAATACTATCACTAGCCACTTATATTCTGTGAGTATCAAAATTGATGATGAGATTAGAACACTGTTAATTTTGTCTTCATTTTTTAAAAGTTAAGAAGGATTGGTCGCAATATTAAATAACTCTTTAAGTAATATGAAGTTAAACTTGTGAGATATGTAAATAAAAATAAGAAATTAAGGTGTGAGATATGTAAACTATGTGAGATAAGTAATATTTCATTTTAAGGTGTGAGATAACTAATATTTCATATTTTTATTTACATATCTCACACCTAAATTTTTTTATTTACATACGCATCACATTGCATTCGCCCGTTTACATTTTAGAAGGTAAGTTTTGATGGCACTAGAATCAAGCGTACCTAATGCTGGATGAAGTGAAGTTGGACCTATACCACAAGGGATTTAAACTCGATTATTGGTATTGGACTTCACATGGTGAATTTGAAAAATATGTCTGAATTTGAAAAATATGTCCAACACAGTCATGCATAAGCCTCATCAAGTTATGCCCCTTTAATCGCTCGCGATTTTGGCATGTATAATGAAATGATTGATGTTTGTTGGGAGTGTGCTTAATGATAACCAGGAATCAGACAATGAAGTGCAACAATTCTATGAACTATTAAATGTTGTTCAACAACCACTGTGGGAAGAATGAACTTTGCACACAAAGTTAACAGTTGCCCTAAAAATGCTGAGTATCAAATCCAATTTTAACATGCCTAGGGAATGCTTTAATCAGCTAGCAATATTATTGAAGAAGACAAACCCTGCTGGTAATTTAGTTCCAGAAAATTTGTACAAAACTAAAATTTAGTGGCGAAGTTGGGCAACTATCTAAGAAGATAGTTTGCTGCAACAATGATTGTATATTATATTACAGGGATAATGCACAAGAGACAAAATGCAAATTTTGCGGAGTTGGTCGATTTAAAGAAAGGGAGAAAAAGAATAAAAACCAGAAGAATACTCCTTACAAAGGTCTCTTATATTTTTTCACTCATTCCATGGCTTGAATGACTGTTTACTATTATACACATAGCTCCCCACATGACATGACGTAATATCAATCCCTCAGCTCGTGAAGCTTGGAAACACTTCAACCGTAGTTATCTAAATTTTATAGCGGAGCCAAACAACGTTAGACTTGGATTATGTGTAGATGGGTACATACCTTACAGTAATGCTGCAACACCCTATTCTTGTTGGCTTGTTATTATCACACTATATAATTTGCCCTATAATATGTGTATGACAGTTCCTTTTTTATTTCTAACGTTGATCATACTATGTTCACATATCCCAAAGAGTAAAATTGACGTGTATTTACAACCTCTTATAGATGAGCCACAGGTATTGTGGGAAACCGATGCCATGTTTTATGATGTTCATTCTCTACGAAGTATTGAAGCGAGTATGATGTTATTGCCGTGCAAGCTCGAGTGGATATTTACTCCCGGGTTTTTTGACTCGATGGAGCATTTACTCGTTCACTTATGTCATGAGGCTATATTGGGGGGGACCAGTGTAGTATAGGTGGATGTATCCATTTGAGATGTATGTCTTTAGTTTAGTGTAAACAATCATCCTCTATTTTTTTTAAATGACCAAACTGTGTAGATTTCTGAATAAAATAAATAAGACTGTTAAGAATAAAGCACAATTGGAGGGTTCAATATGCGAGGCATACCTATTACGTGAGACAATTACTTTATGTTCTTTTTTACTTCGATCAAGGGCAATAGATGCATGAAATTGTTGGATGCCTTCACAAAAAGAATTATCGGTATTCCAAATATCTGGTGAACCTTAAGAGATGTATGACAGGTACTACCTAAACGATAGAGAGCTTTAAGTGGCTTCTTTTTATGTTATATCGAACTACAATTAAGTACAACCATTCATATAGTAAGATTAAATTTCTTAAACAGTAAACTTAGACATGCAAATCACACTAATTTCCAAAGATTATTTATCAAGAGCCTGAACATAGAGGATGACCCTCTTGTAAGCAAGAATATTGAAGAAGAATTCCTAAAGTGGTAAAATTACATGTACGTTGGATTAACTTTTTAATACACCAACATGTTTTGTAGTTGTACTCAACAAAGTAAAGCTAATTATGCTTTGAAAATTCTACTAGGTTCATGATAGAAGCAACGAAATCACAGATCATGACTTATTAGATCTTTCTTGGAGGCCTAATCGAAGTGTCAAGAAATGACACATATTTGAAGTTAATGGTTACAAATTTCACACAAGCATTTGTTTTTAAGGAAAGCAAAGTTATAATTGTGGTGTGCGTTAGAGAAAACACACACGCAAATAACGAAATCAGCTATTACGACATACTAAATGAAATAGTCCAGTGCAATATCTGGGCTATGTTGAATGCAATGTCTACATGTTTAATTGTGAGTTATTTGATTCTTGTGTTGTGAACGTTGAACAGTTTAATCTGATTATTTTTAATCAAATTTGGCATCTTTGTGTAAATATATTAAAGATTTCTTGTCCTATTATGTTGATTGTTGTTGTTAATGGCAGTGTCTGAAAATCTGAATTTTTTGCTATTTTTTTTTATTTCTTATAGGTTTGTGTCAAATCAGTGTCTGAATATTTTGACGCTAAAACCTACAATCAACATACGATACATGCCACCGTTTAAACAACGTAGTAGCGTCAAAGCAAGGCGACACAACTTAGCATCGATCATGGCCGGCCATAATTTACATCAAATGTGGTCGATGCTAATTAGTGTCGACTATTTTGATGCTATTGCGTGGTTGTCCTAGCATCACTAGCAATTGTGAAGTAAATTTTTAGCGACGGATTTTAGCGACACTAATAAAAATCCTATGCAAATTTTGACGCAAAATCAATCAGCGCGCACGTTAAATTTATTTCAACGCTAATCTGTCATTAATCGAGATTAGCATCGGAAAAAGACCTGATTAACATTGGAAATGTCTAACGTTAATCGGGCAATTTCCTGTAGTGTCAAAAAGCGTGGATACGCCAAGTACTGTTGTATCTACGTCGTAGTTTTTTTGATTCCAGGTTCTCGAATAAAACGACATGAATAAATATGCCAAGGAGCGACATTATTACACAGGGTGCATTTTTCTCTTGCTTCAATTCTTTAATTTCTCGATTCAAGGTGACAATACTTTCTCTTTCTTGAATCTCTTGAGCGCGCTGAACTCAAGTAGGACTTTTATCTGGAGCGGTGAAATTCAAGAGATGAATTTTAGAGCATGTGATTTTTCTTGTGCGATCTGGAGAGAAATTGGAGCAAAATTGATGTAAGTTCCACCAGTGCAGAGAGAAGATTTAAGTGGTGTAAACTTCCTTACATCTCTCCTTTCGTTGTAAAAATTCTATGTGATGTGGCTCTATTGCTCTTTTTCGTTCTCATATTTTTCACATTAAATTTGATGTGTTTTTTTTTGGGTTACTTTATTTTGTATTTTTGTTCGATAGTTTGTTCTAAATTTCTCGAGTCTCTGAGATCTTTTTTCATAGCGTGGTTTTGATTATAAATCAATCAAAGCCCAAATTTACATCCCTTGCATATATAAGGGTTGAAAAGAGAAGTCATGCATCTATTTGTTAGAATAAGTAAGCTAAGTTATAGTTGATGTGCGTGTAGATTCTTTAAAAATAAAAAATTACCTACACTCAATAGCCTTTAATCTTAACCTCCCATTTATTTGGGCCACTTGATAATTAGAAGAAAATGTCCATCGAAAACTTGCATATGTTTGTCATGTGACTATTTGTTTCTTCTTAGCATAGCACATCCATGTAGGATGTAAACCTAAATTTGTTTTTTGAGTAGGTCAAAATCACACTAACTACCCTCAATAAGAGAGATGATTAAATATTAGAGAGGGAAAGAAAGAACACAATGTGTGGAGCTTTGGAATTTTATGATAGTAATGAGTTTGCCATCTTGCACTTCCTCCCCAGTCACCTATTCATGGATTCAAAGCAAAGCTTAAGCACTAAAGAAGAGCTACATGTTGAGATGCATTAATAAAAATAGATACCATAAGAGTTATTTAACTAAGATTTCATTATAATATTGAGTTTATTTAAGTACGCCCGACTAGAATCTCTTCATGACTATCTATTTATAAGTTTGAATTATGACACAAGTACTATAGAAAGAATTGTATATAAAAGCACATTAATAAGAAGAAAATACATATATTATTCGTTGCATGTCTAAAAATTCACATGGTTGTAAGTGATAATTTAATGTGTTAGTATTGAACAAAGATCCATTGCACACACAGATGAAAAAGAAGTAACAGGAGAAGACAATCAGAATTTTGTACGAAAAAAATTTTGAAAGTGAAAAAAACACAAAGCCTGATCTAGTCTTTTTTTTTCTAGGAAAAATAAGCCTAAAAGTAATATGAGTGATTCAAATAGGCAATTTCACGGTGAAAATTATACCCTTTACTAACTACCCAACTTAAAACAAAGTTGAGGAAGGAGAATTAAAAAGAGAACAAAAAACCAAATAAATTATAAAGAGAGGGTTAAAATATCGCTAATTTTTTGTGAAGAAATTGGGTGCAAGGGGAAAAGAAGACGAACCTGAATGGGCCGAGCCGAAACCGGAAGGGTCCATTTTCTGCCATATAGAAGCAAGTGGAACCCGCACGTGTCAGATCTTTTCACGTGCGCACGCCACTGAGACGCCGTACGATCCGGGGCCCATGGCACGTGGCTGCACTCTCTTATGTGTCTCATACTCTTCAACCCTATTTCTTTCACCCCCATCCCCGAGCTTCCGACGCCGAATATTCACAATCCATTCTTTTTCTCCGCCAAATCACTGAATTAGCAATTCCTCAGTACCTCTCTTGATTGACTGATTCACTTTTTTCTACAACGGGGAATCAGGCGGAGTTCCGTCACATGGGTCGCAGCTTCAGCGACGCCGCCGACTCCTCCGGTCCTTTCAGTGAATGCAATAGCGATAGCTCCGGCGAGTTCTCGCTACCTGGATCACCCTTATCAGGAGGATCCGGTAGCAGCAGAGCCGCCGCCCTCCATCGCCTTCTTATCTCCTGCTCTGCCGACAACTCCGATGAGGTAATCCTCGGTCTAATCTCTGATCTAGAATCCCCATCTGCTTCCATCGACCTCCAGCGGAGCGCGGCCATGGAGCTCCGCCTTCTCGCCAAGCACAACCAAGACAACCGGCTCAAAATAGCCCGCGCCGGTGCTTTTCGCCCTCTCGTCTCTCTGCTCTCCCACTCAGATCCAATCCTCCAGGAGAACGGCGTCACCGCAATCCTAAACCTCTCCCTCTGCGACGAGAATAAAGAAATGATCGCCGCTGCCGGCGCCATTAAACCCCTTGTCCGCGCCCTCAAGAACGGCACACCCGCTACCCGCGAGAACGCCGCTTGCGCTCTACTTCGACTTTCTCAAATCGACGATCACAAGATCACCATCGGTCTCTCCGGTGCTATCCCCCCTCTCGTAAATCTCCTTCAAACCGGCGGGCCTCGAGCAAAGAAGGACGCATCCACCGCCCTTTACTCCCTCTGCTCCACAAGGGAGAACAAGATTCGCGCCATTCATGCGGGAATCGTTCGCCCTCTTCTCGATCTAATGGCCGATCCCGACACAGGTATGGTCGATAAAGCCGCTTACGTCTTATTTACCCTCGTGAGCGTGCCGGAGGGCCGCACGGCTACGGTGGAGGAGGACGGCATCCCTGTTCTCGTTGAGATCGTTGAAGTTGGAACCCAGCGGCAGAAGGAGATCGCCGCTGCAACTCTTCTCGTCATTTGCGAGGAGAATGTTTTTTGCCGCCTTATAGTCGCTCGCGAGGGCGCAATTCCGCCGCTCGTCGCTCTCTCAGAGGCCGGCTCCTCCCGCGCCAAGCAGAAGGTTCGTTTCCCTTCTAACGCCGTTAAAACTTGAGCGTTAATTAATTCCTTTTCGTTAATTAATTACTTTTTCGTTAATTAATTTGAGGACATGGATTAATTGCAGGCGATGGCCTTGGTGGAGCTTTTACGGCAACCAAGAGCAGCTGCGGCAGGCGGGGGCGGGGGACTTGTGCGGGCATCATCTGGGATGCAGTAGAGGCCACGTGGCATATCTGAGGCAGCGACGTTGGAGCAAGCATAAGCCGTAAAGCCGATGCGTGGACTTTGTAAATATTTCACCGCGGCTTTTTTGGTTTTTTAAATTTGTGGGGGTTGAATTATAGAAGATGTGACCGAGATTTCAAAATTAGTTTTGTTCGACTGCTGAGAGTGTACATTCTTAGAGGAAGTGACCTCATTTCAGTGGATGCCAGCCTTTTTTTCTTTTTTTTTATTTTTAATTTTTAATATTTTTGGAACTCTCGTTCTTGAAGCCAAAGCTCCAAGCACGGGGGATGGAGCCTTCTGCAGAGTTTGTACTTGGTCAAAATTTTGGAGATAAATTTTGTCTATATAAAATTTACGTTTTGTTGATCAATTTTCTTGATGTAGATTTTTTTTTTTTTTTTTTTTTTTTTTTTTTTTTTGGTGGTATGTCATTCTTTTTTGTTTTCTAATGTGTGAAGGATGGCTTTGGTGTGTTGTTGAATCATAATTTATCGCTGAATAGCATTTTTAAGTAATATAGTGTAAATAAGGAGATAAAGAGAGATAATGAGATAGAAAGGGAGAGTATGATCAGTAGTCATTCGTATCTTATTCATAAAATGATTCTTTTTTTTATAGAGGAGGATATACATGATTATTATATTATATTTTTGCTCTTGTATTAAAGGATTTTGTGTTGGTGTATTTAGGTATTTTACATGCATGAGCTTGTCGTCTGGCTGCTTTTTGGCTCGACCAACTAAGCTTAATTGACTTCGGGTTGGCAGGGTCAGCTTGGTTGGCTAAACTTAGTCGGTATTGATCGGCACAGTCATTCGAGTTTGGTCGTTATGGATCAGTTTTGTCGTCTGAGATTGGTTAGTATGAATCGACTCGATTGTCTTAGCTTGGTTGGTATGGTTCAATTTGGTCGTCTGAGCTTGGCAATATGGATCAAGAGGCTGACACAGCTCGAATATCTATGATTGGCCCTTGATGAGGAGCATCTCGACACCCTTGGGATGGTTGGAGATAATAGGGAACCAGATCTTTTCTTGTTTTGGATCCCATGTGTTGGTCGGTTCATATACCCTTTTGTCTAATCTCCGACCGAGTCTTTCTTATGTCTTTGGTTGTCTTTAGTCCATCTTGTGGTTAGTTTGGCTTTAATCTTGCTGGCCATGCTTGATTAGCTTCACTTGGTCAGATAAATAGACCTCTTATTTTTTTTTCAGTGAGCTTACTTTTGTCATACTCTTTCCTTCTAGACAATTAATTTGATCTTCTTGGGATCAATTTTGACACATTTTTCATGCACACATGCATTTGTGATTTCAAAAGAAAGGATGGGAGGAGGAAAGAATATTGTTGTGGTGCTCTTGTTATTCTCTTGCTTGGTTTTCTATCTTTTTTTAAAATATATGAATGATTTACATTATATATATATATATATATA